CAGACAGACAGAGACAGAGACAGAGACAGAGACAGAGAGAACATAAACCTGGGAGAGAGAGAGGACATAAACCTGGGAGAGAAAGATGAAGAGACACAAAAAGAAAGAAAGAAATTTCCCTGGAGCTGAAAAGCAGATTACTTTTTTTGAAAAAGTCAGGTTTTTTAGAATTATTTCCCTTCTTCTTTATCACTCTTATTTCAGCAGCTCAGGAATCCCTATTTTTAGGGTTTGGGGCGCTAGAGAGAAAGGAGGTGGCTTCCTTTCCTGACCTGCCTAAAGGTGGAAGCCACTGATGACATCAAAGTTCTGTCTCGCCTAGGCCAAGCACCAGACAGAGCAAGACAAACTTAAAGCAGACCACTCCCATCCATTCCACTGTAAGTAACAGAAATGAGCAATGTAAGTGGAAACCACGGGGAAAACTAGTCACTCAGGTGCAATGCTCTGGGCCCCACCACATGGTAGAGAGAAAGCAGGTAGAGTGAATCTACCAGTCTTTTCCACGGGAACATCAGGCATTGTCCCTGCAGGACACTCACAGTTATCTGTTTTTGTGCTTCACAGATTAACATGGACATTCCTTCTGCTCTGGTGGGTTCTCCCCAATAGCCCAACTCCAGGATGTGTAACTGAGCCATAGTGACGCTTTTCCAGGCCCCAAACATCTTAAGATACATCCTGATGAGTGGGTAGGAGCAAGAGGATGGAGCTTTTTATTAGGAGGATGTTTGGAAAGAGATAAGGATGTTGAAGGCAGGAGCCAATGTTTCCCAAGGTTCTTTCTTAAAATACATTGTGTTTGGCTTCGGGGCTGCTGACTCACCCTCAGGCGGTGCATTCCATCTCAGGCTACTATGTTCCCCGAGGGCCTGGACAGACCAGCTCCCTCCCCACCTACAGTATCCACAGACACATCTGCTTTAGCTTATTAGAGAGTCAAAACAACCAGCTGTCAGCCCATCATCCTTTCCACTTAAGGACATTCTCCTTGGCTGATGCACGGCTCTCCCCAAGGGTTCGCCCCTGGACTGCCTGTGTGTCTGTGAGTCTGCGAACTGAGTTTAATGATAATTTGAAGAGCCTCTTACATCCTAGTTTATGTAACCCTCTCACATGAATAGCAAGATGTCTCTGTGGGGAATCATGGAATGACTACTGACTCATTAGATAAGCAGTGAGCCCTGGAAACAGGAAGCAGAAAACAGGCTCTCAAAGCCCACTTCATTCGCTACTCCTGTCATCCACAGGTAACTCAGTTTTGTAGAAAGCAGACTGGCCTCGGGGTCAGCAGATCCAAGCTCAACTTGTAGTCCTGCCAGATACTATGTGACCTCAGATAGGATGCTTGGCCTCTCAGGACCTCAGTTTCCTATTTTATAAATGGGAATGATACTTACCCTGCCAGCCTTGCATGGATTTTAAAAGGTCCTAACAGAATACTGGGGTGGGAAAGCAACATAAAGGGCATCTAAAGCGAAACCTTCCTCCTTTAGAACACCACAAATAAGCCACACAACCTATACTTGAGCTCTCTCTGTGATAGGGAACTCATTCTCACAGAAGGTTCAGGGCACTGTGGGATAGCTGTGATTTATTTTGAGCTGCAGACTGCCTCCTCTGGCATTCTCCCAATTGGTTTTTCTCCATGTGGGTAACAGAAGCACATCCAGTGCTCTTCTGGAAGGACAGCTGTCAGATATCTGGAGGCGGTACTGTGCCCTGGATACGGACAGAGCCATCCCTCAGAAATTTTCCCACACTAGGCTAAGCCTTTAACTTCCTTTACTGTCATGATTATTGTTCTCCAAAGGTACTTCAGGTAATTTAGACCCTCAAAGTATCTTGTCTGGAACCAAAGGTGGTATTCAGGATGGTCTGAAAGGGGGAGAGTTAAGTGGGATATTCACCTCCCTTATTCTAGATGATACGCTTCTATTGATGTAGCTGACCCATGAATTAGCTGCTTTGGTGGTCACATCTCAATAACAGCTCTTCCCCCACAGTCTCCACTTCAAACACTGAATGTTCTGGTTACCACCTCCTTTCTGTTCAGCTTATTCCATTTGATACCCAACTCAATCATTCTTAGGCCTCACCAGAACTTACCATCCATTGATCATACTTCTGTCCCTCACCTTTCTTCTCCACCATGTTCTCATGTCCCTTCTTAGCCAGCCTAGGGCTCATGACGCATCAATATAATCATTTCCTTGAATACACTCCCAATTCCTTTCTCTCTCTCTTTCTCACTTGCCTGGCAAAATTCCGATGCTGATTAAATCCTACTCTCTGTCTCTTCCTGCCCTGCATCCACAGAGTTGAAGCTGGTTAGAAAAAACCACAGAAATAAATTAACTGGCCTAAGTTAACTTCATGACCAGTAACCTCAAGGGGGCCGATGGAGCTGCCCAGTAATCCTCCTCTAGTTCCCTAGTTTGGGCATTCAAGGTCATCTATCCTTAAACCTTCACCACCTCTGTCCCCACCTTCACTTTCAGAGGGTGACCTTGCCTTCATCCAATGGGACTCCCACGTGCTGCCCCACCACATCTACTTACCTGCCCATATCTGCCCGGTGCTCTGCCTTCCCTCTGTCCCTGTAGGTGGGCTTCTGTGCTCTTATCTAAAACTAAGCTCTCCAGGTGTGCACTAGATCCTTGCCCCCTGGCTTATTCAGAGACTTTTGCCCCCACTCCCCACACTCCATTACTGATTTCCTCTTTTCTACAGGACCATTGCCATCATATATAACTACAACATTATTTTTTCTCATCTTAAAAAACAAAAACAGGGCCAGCCAAGTGGTGCATTGGTTAAGAACTGGCTTAGGACGCCAGAGGGCCCCNTGAAAGATTAAAGACCAAAAAGGCTTTAAAGCAAAGCTCTAGACCATTATAGAAGAGATGTCACAATGCAGGGCATAATTAATTAGCAAATGAATTCTATGACCAATAAGTTACTCTATGATTGCAAACAGAAAGCGTTTCAGGCCAGGCTGGTCAGGGCAGATTTCCCTGGGGAAGGCAGAACTTGAGTTGGAGCACCGCTGTGCCTTCTGTTCTAATCTTCTCCTACATCCTGTCAATTTCAGTACTTCTGTGACTCAAGAACCTACCACAGTTCCCTATTGCTCTCTGCATCAAGCCCCAGTTAAAGTATTGTGAGGATTGGTAGTTTTCAAACATCTTTAGAAGAATTCTTTAATTAATGAAACCTTGAGCAGAGCACTGATACAGAAAGCAATGAAAAACAATGAAGTATTTCTTTAATTGGTTTACATATGTATGGTTGTTGGGAACCTCTATAAATGCCAAGGGCTTGGGGAAGCTTGGTTTAAAAACCACCGGATTAGATAGCTGAAGTCCTTTCTGCATTTGAGTTCTGATTATTATGACCCTCTGCCTGGGATTTGAAGCTTACTGTAGCCTGCTTCCATTCCTGCTTCACCTTATTTTGAACCAGTACACATTCATCTCTAGTCGGGCCAGTTTTCTAGAATCTTTTGCACATTCCTTGCCTTTCCTGTGTTCTTGCTTTTCTCATGATGCATCATCTATATGGAATGCATTCTTTCTCCTGTTGCTTATTCAGATACGAGCCTGAATTTGTAGTTTCCGCCTCTTCCCAATCATCTCTGATTGCTCCTTTCTCTGAATTCCCTTTGAACAAACAGTTGAGACCTTACCTCATCTCTAATTATTTCCTGTTCAAAATTTTTATGTTTTTGGAAAGTCTATAAGATTCTCGAAGACACGGTCCATGTCTTTTGTTTCTTTTGAATCTCATTACAGTGCCTAGTAGAGTGTTGGGCATGTGGTCATTATTCAAAAGCCCCAGACATGCACGATTAGATGCATTATTTGTGTGTGCTTCTCCTAGCTTTCTTGGAGCATCATCTATGACGCATTTTCTCACCTCAGTGGTGAAAATAAAGGTCAGTCCCCACAGTGCTGGACACAGTACCTGCTGCTACTACTTCTTTGCTAGAAAAACACACCCCTTCATGGAAAAGTTGGAAAAAGTCAAATTTCAAAAAATAGACATATTTGTTGGGAAGATGATAGGACTTTCTGTACTGCTACAGGACACTTTTTAGAAGAAATCCTCTGAACAAGACAGTCACAGAGAATCAGGCTCGGGCATGCGCTGGCTGCTGGGGAAGGGCAGGCCTGATTCCTCCACAGGATGTGTCCTCTGGGCCCCGGGTGCCCAGATGTGTGAGTGCTTTCCCCACACGTGGCAGTACAATTATGTGAAGCCTGCAACAGCTCCAGTTCCTCATGGCCAAGGGGATTCCAGGAGAAGCAGCAGGCACAGCTGAGATGGAAGGAAGCTGTCAGAGCAGCAGGCGCATTGTCAGGATGGACGGCCATGGCATGGCGAGCCCAGAGAATGTGCTGGGTCTTTCCTCATGCAGGCCCCCAGTGGGAAGGCATGTGGGAAGTCTCTGTGTATCGGTCCTTAAACCCTCACCTCAGGCTCTGGTCTGACTCTGAAAACTGAGGGAGCTGGGGCCACTCAAAATGTGCCTCTCCTAGGATGTGGTTTAATCAGAGGTTCTCAAGTTTCAATCTTTGTATGACTCTATTGGAAGCATCAGGAAAGCTTCAAAAATACAGATGCCCAGGACTCAACCCAGGCCTGCTATGGCATAGGAGGCTGGAGTCTGTTTTCTTGATCACTCCTCTGGTAAGTTATCTAATGCCTGGCCGGGCTTGGGACCCACAGGTCAGTGTTAGCTCACCTACTTTTATAGGATCCATTGCTTTGTTCCAGAGTGGGCTGGGGGTGGGGGTGGGGGTGGACTGTACCCAAGGAAACATATTACTGAATGTTCTTATAACTCAGAAGAAGCAGCTGCAGTTTCATGTGGACCAAATAGACAGGTTTGGTTTAAATCAAGAACACCTGGAGAAGAAAAACTTCAACCTTTGAGAGCTCATAGAACCACAGGTGCTTAGCCAGTAGGCTCCTCATGGGTCCCGAATGGCTAAAGCATAGCACAATCTGTCACACCTCATTCCCCTGCTTAGGGCAGACATTGCTAATCAACCATGACACCCTTCCCTGTTGAACCTAGAGAACCTTTAGAATCCTAGCAATCAGAGCTTGTGCAAGCAACAAAAACTTTTACCCACCTTACCATTCCTACCAGTCACATCCTAGTTGAATCCTAAATTTTGTTGAGCACCCTGGCTTGCAGTTATCCACAGGGTACGTTTCAGAAATTGGTGGTGAGCCACGTTCTCTTCTCTCTCTATTCTCTTGTCCTAGGTGAACTCATCGTTGCCTTGACATTAAACATTACATGAACTGGCAATTCCCAACTTTTTATTTCCATCCTAGAGCTCTTCATGAGCTCCAGACGCACATAGAAACTCAGAGGCTAAGAAAGCATAGAAGTCAGGTCTAAGCTGTATTAGATATAGGACAATGTCTTTGAATGAAAATCTTCTTGATAACAGGACTGCTTATTTCTCTGTGGACTGCTGATTATGCCTGGTACAGCATCTTGTATACAGCAGGTACCGGTAAATGACTGCCGATTTTACATGATACATTTCCCTGCTTATATGAGTAACTCAGTTATTCTTCTCTTGCTTTTCTTGCCTTTCCAGAGCACAACCTCCTATAACAGTGGCTGCCCCATTCCTTGTGCCTCTCAGGGTGGATGGGGTGTAGTAGTCTGTTACATTGGTGGTGGCTCTCCGATGAACCATTCCTCGTGGTGTTTACATCCTTGTGTTACCCTCTTCCTTGAAATGTGGTATGGACCTGTGATTTGCACTAGCCAGTAGAACGTGGTGGAAGTTATACTGTGTCGGTTTCAGGTCTCAGCCCTAAGAAGGCCTGGAAGCTTGACCTTTTTGTGTTCTTGGGAGCCCTGGACAGCCATGAGTCAAGTTCAACTACCTTGTTGAGAAAAGAAACCATACGGAGAGATCATGTGAAGAGGGAGAGTCCCTGAGACTCTATGGAGAGCAAGAACAGCCCAGCCCTTCCAGTGTCCAGAGAGCAGCCTGGCCTTTCTTGTCAGTCCCAGCTGAGCCCAGCTGCCAGCTAATCCGCCAGCTGAAAGCAGCCCTACAGATGACGACCACTGGCAAGACCAGTAGAACCGCCCATCTGAGTCAGCTCAGCTTGCAAGTGTCAAGAGCAAATAAAATGTGTTAAGCCAATCAGACTTGGGGTGGTCTGGTCCACCAGAGTAGGTAACTGAAATGGGGTGTGCGCTTTGATATTACGGACCAAAGGGCAGTGAATGGTCTCGGAACCTCACCTCCTGCTTTCCAGCTTTCAGCTTTGGTGCTCTGCTTTGTACAGAGGCCTGAGCAGTACCAATTCCTTTGCTCCCTGTCAATCCAGGGCACAGTAGAGATAATTTAGTCATTTTGTTAGCATTTTGAATGGAAACCTTTAGGGCATCCACCAAATGTAAGGGCAGAAGGGAGTGGGATGAGGAACAGAGGGGAGATGGAAAGGGGGCAGCTCTGTTCGTGCTGAAGTATCAGAGGGAATGCATGCTCACCCCCAACTTGGAAGGCAGAGTTAAGGGGTGGGCCTGTGCAGTAACTGGCTTCAGAAATCAGAGGCCCAGAGCTGTCTGGATTTCTATGAGAACTAAAACTTTCTATAAACACCATTAATAATGATTGTCACTGTGGTGTGAACCTCAGGTTTCTAGTGTA